AAGAACCGTTCTTACCTACGCATAAAAACCACAACGATAGTTTGTCAAGTTGGTGATGTTTTAACCTTCGCAAGGACCGGGCGTAGCCACACTCGATTCAGCTAAAGTGAGAGAGACAGACACCCGCCAGCCACCTTTAAGCACGAGTGCTCGTAATGGTGAAACCAGTCTCGCGTAAGCGTACGCGTAATGTCGGTCCGGGCCGCTTCATCTCACAATACCGCCGAACCAAAGTATGACTTGCTGGTAAGCAGTATGACTTGTATCGCCCACAACTCACTTGTGTTCTACTCGTGCATATAACATCAACGCATAAAACCAGGCTCGGATGCCACTGTTAGGGAACGTAGTAATTTCAAAAAATTTCCTACGTAACACGCAAGATCATGGTGATGACATAGCAACGAGAGGGAAGAGTGTTGTCCACGTACCCTCGTAGACCGTAAGCGGAAGCGTTATGACAACGCGGTTGATGTAGTCGTACGTCCACGATCCGACCGATCCAAGCACCGAACGTACGGCACCTTCGAGTTCAGCACATGTTCAGCTCGATGACGATCCCCGGGCTCCGATCCAGCAAAGCTTCGGGGATGAGTTCCGTCAGCACGACGGCGTGGTGACGATGATGATGTTCTACCGGCGCAGGGCTTCGCCTAAACTCCGTGACGATATGACCGAGGTGGAATATGGTGGAGGGGGGCACCGCACACAGCTAAGGAGCGATCCGTAGATCAACTTGTGTGTCTATGGGGTGCCCCCTGCCCCCGTATATAAAGGAGGGAGGGGGGAGGCCGGCCGGCCCTTGTTGGGCGCGCCAGGAGGAGGAGTCCTCCTCCTAGTAGGAGTAGGACTCCTCCTTTCCTACTCCTACTAGGAGGGGAAGGAAGGGGGGAGGAGGGGAAGGAAAGAGGGGGGCGCCGCCCCCCCCCCCTCCTAGTCCAATTTGGACCAGAGGGAGAGGGGGGCGTGGCCCTTCCTGGCCGCCCCTCTCTCTTCCCACCAAGGCCCATGTGGCCCATTAACTCTCCGGGAGGGGTTCCGGTAACCCTCCGGCACTCCGGTTTTCTCCGAAATCACCCGGAACACTTCCGGTGTCCGAATATAGTCGTCCAATATATCAATCTTTATGTCTCGACCATTTCGAGACTCCTCGTCATGTCCGTGATCACATCCGAGACTCCGAACAAACTTCGGTACATCAAAACTTGTAAACTCATAATAAAACTGTCATCGTAACGTTAAGCGTGCGGACCCTACGGGTTCGAGAACTATGTAGACATGACCTATAACTATTCTCGGTCAATAACCAATAGCGGAACCTGGATGCCCATATTGGTTCCTACATATTCTACGAAGATCTTTATCGGTCAAACCGCATAACAACATACGTTGTTCCCTTTGTCATCGGTATGTTACTTGCCCGAGATTTGATCGACGGTATCCAATACCTAGTTCAATCTCGTTACCGGCAAGTCTCTTTACTCGTTCTGTAACACATCATCTTATAACTAACTCATTAGTTACAATGCTTGCAAGGCTTAGGTGATGAGTATTACCGAGAGGGCCCAGAGATACCTCTCCGACAATCGGAGTGATAAAACCTAATCTCGAATTATGCCAACCCAACATGTACCTTCGGAAACACCTGTAGAGCACCTTTATAATCACCCAGTTACGTTGTGACATTTGGTAGCACACAAAGTGTTCTTCCGGTAAACGGGAGTTGCACAATCTCATAGTTGCAGGAACTTTGTATAAGTCATGAAGAAAGCAATAGCAACATACTGAACGATCAAGTGCTAGGCTAACGGAATGGGTCATGTCAATCACATCATTCTCCTAATGATGTGATCCCATTAATCAAATGACAACACATGTCTATAGTTAGGAAACATAACCATCTTTGATTAATGAGCTAGTCAAGTAGAGGCATACTAGTGATTTATGTTTGTCTATGTATTCACACGTGTATCATGTTTCCGGTTAATACAATTCTAGCATGAATAATAAACATTTATCATGATATGAGGAAATAAATAATAACTTTATTATTGCCTCTAGGGCATATTTCCTTCAGGAGAGTCCCATCCGGACACGGGACAAAGTCTTCAATCTTGTATCTTCATAGTCCAAAAGTCCGGCCAAAGTACATAGTCCGGCTATCCGGATACCCCCTTATCCAGGACTCTCTCACCTGCATCGGGCATGCATTGACGGGGACCTACACGAGTTGTACGCCATGTCGAAGGAGTTGGAGGGGCCAGCAGAGGAGGACTCCATGACAGTTGCGATGCTAATTGGCATGGCACCGATGTCGCCAACGGTAGTCGGAGTAGACAAAGTGGTCGGGAAAGATGACAACGACGCTGGCGATGAGCTGGTGCTGGAGGAAGACAAAGGTTGGATGGGCGGTGCCGAGGAAGAGCGATGGTGGTGGGTTAGGAGCGCGGTGGTGATGCTTGAAGTAGGCGAGGAAGAACGCGACAACGTGGCGAAGACCGACGCGGAGGGTGGCGTTCCCGCGCCGAGGGAGGCGGCGCGGCACATACCACGGGAAGTCGACGCCCGGGGACGGCAGAGTGGACCGCAGGCCGTGGCGCTACAGCCGAAAGGGGCTACGCTGCGGCGGCAGGCGGGTCGGGGCGACGGCGAGAAGACCTTGGGGTGGCAGCGCGGACCGCGTGCAGCGATGCCATGACCCGAAGGGGTGTGGTGCAGCGGCACTGCATGGGTCTGAGCGGCCATTGGGATGGCCTCGGGCGGCAGCGGGGACCGCGTGCTGCGATGCTTCGACCGGAAGGGGCGATGTATAGTGGTAGCCCGCGGGTCGCGGGGACCACATGCCGCGACACTATAACCAGAAGGGGCGGTGTAGCGACAGTGTAGCGGGTCAGGGCAGCCATGGGGAGAACCACTGGCCGATGGTGACGGTTCGACGAGCTGCGGCGTGGACCGCGTGCTACGGCGCGACAGCCTGAAGGGGCGACGCAAAGGCGGTAGCGGCTACTGGGTTAGCCGTCGGAATGATATCGGGGTGGCGGTGGGAGCGGCGCGTGGGTTGGGGCAGCCCACGGGAGGACCTCAGAGCGGCCACGAAGCGGTTCCTTCCACGCGACGGCAACCTATGCCTCGATTGGCGGTAGGCGCGTGCTCGGGGACGTACTTGGCAAAGACATGCTCGTGATCAGTTGATCAGATCGACGACGGCGTTGTACGCACCCCGACGGAGATGACATGCAGATCATAGTCGATGACGCTGTTGTCGGTGATGTCCCGGGCGATGACGAAAAAGATGGACCGGCAATGGAGACCACGCGGATGAGCGGCCAACAGTGACGCACGAAGGCGTCCCTTGGGCGGTGCATCCAGCCTTGCTGCGCGGTTGATGATGAATTGGCCGGTGTAGAGTCGACGCCGATGTTGGATTAGAGGCGCAAGGGTCAACAGCGACGACGAGCGACGCAAACCGGTCATAGATTGGTATAAAAAACAAAAAAGAAATGCCGGTCAAGATGACCAACGACTAATAGAAAACCGGATCTAGAGATTGAAAAAAGACTCTTTAGGCCAGCTGGTCAACACGGCCGGCGGATGAACCCTAGGTACGGGAGGCACGGCCCCCGACGACGGTCATAGAGGCCGACCGCCCCGGGGGCGGCGCGCAGGGCGGAAGCGGTGGGCGGCGGCTAGGGCATGGATCGGTTAGGTTGATACCACGTTAGAAGAAATAGAGATGAATTGATGGAATCATGTTCATTGGTTGAGCTTTGTGGGCGGTAGGGTAGGATCCTATGCTTTCCTATCCTTCCTAATAATCATAATATTCAACAGTTTTAGATCAATGGGCTCCACAATTGTACATATTGTTAACCCTGTAAAAATTCTCTAATGTTTTTCCAGGCCAGGGTATCAACCAAACTCCTCTTCTCTCACGCAGGCTTGCCCAGGCATACAACACCGGTGCTCTCGGGCACGTCCCAGGCACTGACTTTTGTAGGCATGATGGTGAGGACTCAAACCAAACATGCTCTTTGTCCTTCGAATGCAAACTGCCAAAATAAATTTTTGGACGATATCTTTTTACTGAAGTATGTAGATGTAGATGATATTCAAACGTACCATTATGACCAAATTTTGGTTAGCGATGTAAAAGTTCGCTCATTGCAATCCAACTGGATTCAATCTTGTTCAGTTGACCTTGTTCATTCAAAAAGATATGCATATAACAGCACAACTTTAATTTATAAGGGTCGAATTAAGTACTAATATCTGAACTAAATTCACGTCACTTATTTTGAGACGAAGAGGGTGGTTTATAAGGCTAGGATCTGAGGTCGATCCATCCAAGTACGTGCTTTTGATACTATAGTTTCATTTTTCCTCTCTTCTTTAAAAATTGTTTAATACTCCCTCTGTCCGAAATTACTAGTCTCAAAAAAGATAGAAATGATGTATTTAGAATAAAAATATGTATAGAAACATCTATCTCTGCTGCAAGTAATTTCGGATGGAGCTAGTACTATGTAACACTCCACACTGAAACACGTGGTTACATTGAGAAAGGCAGGGCCGTTCCAAGAACGAGGGGCTTGTGCATCGTACATTCAGGCAAGAATAAAATGCATTAGTAGTTGATGGAGGCCCTTGATGCATGTTCTACCGACTGGTTCTCCTGCACGTAGCCCATTTCAGTTTTTGTTTTCACTTTGGAAATCATATGCGACATAAGCACTTCTCTACTGCACGTTCAAAAGACAGAGTGCTACTCACAAGTCACACGGCGACCTTCTAGATTGGGCGGCCACGGATGATTTATGTAGAGCCTTCGCTCATGAGTTTTGCCTCCCGGCTTGTTGTTCAGTGGCTGCATTTGGTTCAGTACGCAGCTTCTTTACATAAGAGCAGGCCTTGATCAATTGCACTTCACAGCCACTCTCACAACGCAAACAATCTCCCTAACTTACAGTGCAGCAGCCTCGTCTCAGTTCAGTTCGCCTGACATGCCCAGCAGCAACGCGAGCCCGGGCGCCCGCGGGCCATGGAGCGACGGCGAGACGTCGGCCCTCGTGGACGCCTGGGGCCCGCTGCACCTCCGTCGCGACCCAGACCCCCTCGCCGTGGAGGACTGGCGCGTCGTGTGCAGTGCCGTCAACGCCCAGCGCGCCGCCGAAGGCGGCCGCTTCAACCGCACACTCGTCCAGTGCCAGAAGCGCGTCTACACACTCAAGGACCAGTACATGAAGGAGCTCGCCAAGGGGCGGCCGACATCGGGGTGGCGCCACTTCGCCCGGCTCCGGGCCTTCCTGGCCGCCTCGCCTCCTGGCTTCGTTGGCAAGACGCCGGCGGCATCCATCAAGAAGGAGAAGGCCGCCAAGGCGCCGGCGGCATCGTCCGTCAAGAAGGAGGAGGCCGCCAAGACGCCGACGGCATCGTCCGTCAAGAAAGAGGAGGAGGAGGTGGAGGAGGAGACGAGTCCCGGCTTCCCAGCAACGATGCCGGCGACCGTCGTCAAGAATGAGGAGGTGGTTGGGTGTGGTTGCGAGTTGGTTGGGAGAGCGAGGTGCTGTCCGGGGGCGGTGGTGATGAAGCTTGCGGAGGTGTATGAGCGCGTGGTGATGGAGAGGCTCAACGTCGAGGAGAAGAGGATGGAGAAGATGTCATGTTGCAGCATGGGGCACAAGAAGATGAAGGTCGAGAATCCGGAGGGAGCTGACAGCAACTAACTTCTCTCACGGTAAAAAAATAAAAATCGCTCTCCTCCCCCTTCAGAATTACGCACTCGCATTGCGAAAACATAGAGTCTGATCGTAATCGTAAGTAGGAACACGCAAGCACTGCGAGTTTGCGACGACCGATATACTTGCTCCTTTACTTCCATCTTCTTATTAAGTTTTGTTTCTATTTTGCAGACGCACGCACGCAGGGGTTTGATCTGCGGACGACGGAGGTTGATGCATGCATTGTAGGCTGAAACGGAGCAGTGTTTTCCTTTTCTTTTTCTTTTCTTTTTCGCGAAATCCGGAGCTATAGTTTATCTTGTTCTATCTCTCTCAAAAAAAAATGTATCTCGTTCTACACTTAATTTAATTATTATTACTAGCACTGTGAGTGTACTACCATCTATGTGACCGACCTTTTTTTTAACACATTAGAAACGCAAGCGCTCATATAAACGCGCATACACTTACTCACATGAACGCACATACGCACACCCCATCTCTATGAGCACCTCCGAGAGAATGAGCCGGCATATTATCTTGAGATTTTATGAAGTCACCGTAGATGTCTCGTAGTCGACGGGAACGTCTTCCCCCGTTGAAAGTGTATCATCGGAAATACTGAAATAAATTCAAAATAAATGCGAGCATCAGAACTTAAACTTTGATGGGCAGGGGATATCACTGTGCACCTAACCATCTCAACTACAGGTTGGTTCGTTATGTGACCGACCCTAAATTGTGGATTTTGATGGATAAATTAATCAGATTTACTAATTCTTATCTGGATGAGAATTAGTTAAGTCTCGACACATTCATGAGCTATGCCGCGGCCCATTGCTCGCTTGCGCGTGCTTTGACGGTTTTTTTATTTGACCGTTAGGTTATGAACCCATTGACCAGTTTGACCATTTAATTTTTTGAAGAAAGTTCATGGAAATGAAAAGGTTTCAAACATTTGGAGAAAAATCACGATTCCGAATTTTAAAAAAGTTTGTGAATTCAAAAAAATAATGAATTTTAAAAAACTCACTGGTTTAAATTTAAAAAAATCACGAGTGCAAACAAGTTCGTGAACTGAAAAAAGTTAATGCATCTAAAAAAAGTTCACTAGTCCAAAAAAGTTGATGAATTTGAAAGTAGTCCGCGCATCTAAAAAAATCACCAATCTGAAAAAGTCATGAATTTTTAAAAAATGTTCGAGGACTATTATAAAAAATTCTAGAATTTATGAAAGTTCATGAATTTTAAAAATGTTCATGATTTGAAAAAATAATGAAAAGCAAAAAATAAAAATAAAAAAGAAAAAGAAAAAAGTAAGAGAAACCGGCCAAACAAACACATAAAACCAGCAGGAAGAAAGCGTCTGGAAGCTACTAGAAGCTTCCCAAAACCAGAAAAAAGAACCCGGAGCCAGCTTCCCCGCTCGAGCTTCCTTTCGCGCATAACGCTTTATATGGGCCGATCCATCTGCTATAACGGGCGCCACAACAGGCACCAAATAGGAAATGCCGAAATCACTAAATAAGGAGTAATCTTTGCGGAGATCACTCCAACTTCTCAGGTTGCGACAAGTGGCGTGCTGCATGTGCGTCACTTGTCGCAACCTGGGAGTTTTCCCTTTTTTCGTAGATCCGTTTATTCAAAATGTTTTATCTCTTAGACCGTGCGTCCAAATCTCGAATCGCTTTCGCCATTGGATTTCTCGCATCGAGATCTTCAAAACTAGATCCCATGCTGATAAGTTTTGACGAACTTTTTTTTCACGAAAAAATCGGACGAAAAAACCGAACCGGAAACACAGGTTTTTTTTTCTTTCCGAAAGAGGCACGTCCATGCCTCTAACGAAAGCACAACCATGTCTCTGGCGGAAGCAAAACCGTGCCTCTCGCGAAAGAAAAAAAACAGAAAACGTGTTTTTTTCCTTTTCCGAAAGAGGCATGCCCGTGCCTCTCGCGAAAGCACAACCGTGCCTCTGGCGGAAGCAAAACCGTGCCTCTCGTGAAAGAAAAAAAAACAGAAAACATGTTTTTTTCCCTTTACGAAAGAGGCACGCCCGTGCCTCTCGCGAAAGCACAACCGTGCCTCTGGCGAAAGCAAAACCGTGCTCTCCCGAAAGAAAAAAACAGAAAACACGTTTCTTTTCCTTTTCAAAAGAGGCACGCCCGTGCCTCTCGCGAAAGCACAACCGTGTCTCTTGCGGAAGCAAAACCGTGCCTCTCGCGAAAGAAGAAAAAAAACAGAAAACCCGTTTTTTTCCCTTTCTGAAAGAGGCACGCACGTGCCTCTCGCGAAAGCACAACTATGGCTCTGGCGGAAGCAAAATCGTGCCTCTCGCGAAAAAAATGCATTATTTTCCGCAAAAAAAATTCAAAAACTTTTTTTCGGTCGAAAAGATAGGGAAGACCGGTAGAAAACCAAAACGTAAAAAAACAAAAAAAAACTTTTAAAAAGCCGAAAACGTGTGTGTAAAAATAAAAAAAAAATAAAATCCAAAGGAAGCGCCCAGAACGCGACACGTGGCGAATGGCTGTGAGCGCGCCAAGTGGCGCTGATCGTTGCGAGGCTCCCGAAAAAGCGCTCGTTAATTAGTTGCTCCATAGAAAATGCAGCCACGTGATTCTCAGAAAAAAAGGAAATGCCGTCTACTGGAACAGAGCCAGCCTACTCGATGAGTGCTCTGAATTTCTTTTTTTCCCTTTTTCTCTGTCTGAACTTGGTTACCATGTGGTGCTTTTATTGAAAAGGAGGTCGAGTGGAGTCTAGTCCAAGGCTGCAAAGGAAGATGCTGCACCCAAATGGGAAAGGCACCGGATGATCTTAGACTCTTTCGTCCACTAAAAGCATCTATAATCGGACATAACAAATATAACCCCTTAAACGCCCGCGTACGTGCCCGGTCATTGAGCCCTTATTTATCCGTCCACGCACCCACACTTCTCATTTCTCTTCTCATATGTCCGGTCACTTGCACGTGATCGATGGAGATGAAGAGAGAGAAATAAAAGAATGAATGAAGAAAGAGAAAAGGTGGTCCGAAGTGAGGTCGCGTCCTACATGGCGGAATGCCCGGACGCGCCCGGGCACGTCCTTGAGCCCTCATATCCTCCCCATATTTGAGATAGATATGAGGGTTCGCGGACAACCGGGGCATATAAGGATGATATAGGGGTCTGATTGGGTTACGTTTTTCCTTCTCTCCCATTCCCGGTTACTGCCCGGGTATGTCCGCGGACGTACGAGGGATGGTTTGAGGCATACGATTGTAGATGCTCTAATAACCTTACACGTCTACACCCCAAATAAGTCTGACCACAAGGTTCCAAGTTTTAATTGGTGAAGTTCAGATTTTGTCCAGTACCGAAATTGAAATGTCATCAGTTATTTCTTAGAACTCGTTTGAACGGCAAATGATCGCACTAGTTATGTTGGACCACTAATTTCCAAAGATTCTTTTTCGAAGTGAAGTTTAAGCTTAACCTCTGCATTCTTGTACGTACAAAACCATGTCTTTTTTGTTTTTGCGGTAAAATTTTCAATATATTTATCATCAATCATGATACCACAGCAAATACCAAAAATAATAAGAATTACATCTAGATCCGTTGACCATCTAGCGGCGACTATAAGCACTAAAGCGAGCCGAAGGCGTGCCGCCGTCATCGCCCCTGAACAGCAACCGTCGCCGTTAAAAAGAAACTTAGATAGGAAGACTGTAGACACATGAAGACGGACGAACAAATACTAGATCCATGTGGATCCTCTAAAGACAAACGCCGACCGAATCCCGCGAGATCTGCCCGAGGCAAACCTTCACAGACCCTCCGATGACGCTAGAAGCTCCATCCGGGGGGAGGGGGGAATTAGGCACGGAGAACGTTATTTCATCTTCAGAGAGTCGCCGTCACCTCCTCTCTTTGAGAAGGGCACAAACTCTAAGAAAACTCAGAAAAGCATCTAGAAACGAAGCCCTCCCGTCAGCAAGGGCCGGGATCCACCACGCCTCAATGGCCCTAAGATCATTGAAGACGAGGCAGACCGACGTCAGCGCCATCGGGAGACAGGAAAAACCCTAGCGACGGCTGAGTCGAGCGCTTGAAATGGTGCTAATCTTAAGGCCAACATAATGAACTTTATTAAAAGAGCCCAGCATATGTTCTCATGACAGTGCCCGACATCTCCAAACTCTACCACAAACCTATCCATGACAAAAGAAAACCACTGCCAGATCTACGAAATCTATTAGAACATTATAGTACTCAAAGACAACATCTTAGTAAAGAAGGAATCACTGCTTCTACACACGTACATTGATGTTAGGATGCTAGGGTCTAAACAAGAGGCTAGATTTGGGTTATAACCACTACTGAAGCGGCATCGGTTCAACACCTCGCAGATGCTGGGTTTTGCAATTAAATGCACAGAACCATCCTATTAGTGTCATGATTAGCGCAAAACTACCACTTTACGATTCATGACATTTTGCACTGATCCAAAATTTTGACAGTGACAAAAAACACTAAGCGAAGAAAATGATCTCGTTTTGATGTGGCTGATCCCTCGCGAGTCGACAGTAGTGATGGTGCACCATTAACGGCCGGTCGGAAGCGCGCAACTCAGGCTAGTCGCACGCGCGTTGTTTGTCTCATTCGTTCCGTAACATTGCCCTACCCTCGCCGCTGGTCGTGGTGGCCGTTCGCAACTTAAGGTGCCGCCCGTTCGGTTTACCATGTCTCTAGAAAACCCACGTCGTTGTCCTTCCACCACATTGATGAGCCGTCATGTCGCCTCTCTCCTACGCATATCTCACCTCACCTCTCACCACTGCCGCCACCACCGATGGCGAAGTCTAACAACGGTTGGGAGAGGGCTGTTGAGAACTGGGCCGACAACGATCCAACGAGGAAAGCAATCGGCCAAGAGCTCGCCTAGCAGTTCAAGAGCGTGCCCGCTCTTGTCAGCCATGCCAAAGGCCTTGGGCCAACATTCATGAATGATGAGAGGAA